ATGCTTCCATCAGCATCTTCAATGTCAACATTCATTAATCTCATTGCCTGGTCAGTTGACAAAATAATATGGTGGCACAACCTGATTAATTCAGATATTCTACTTGGCACACTTATGTTAAAAGCAGACTGTGTTCTGATTAATGCCATGCTTGCTAACCTAATCCAGTGTTCAGCATTCTACACATTCACCCACCATACAAGTGGAGTTCACTGATGACTTATAAGGAATGTGGTATCTCTCAGTTCTATCAGTGTTTGAGGAAACAGAAACCTGACCATAGACATCACTGATCCTTGAATGAAAACAAAGAGCACTTTGTGTTTTCTTGAGTGTGGACTCCAGATATCACATAGTAGATTCACAACACTCCTGTTCTCAGAAAAGGAGCTGGAGTCATCACACAGGGGCAAGATGAGAGCAGCCTTCCCAACTTGTGGCCTTGGTCTTCAGGCTCATCAGTACAGCAGCGAGCTAATGTGGCTCCCAGCTTGCCCACCTCCTGGCTCTCCAAGCATCATCTGTAGCTTCAACTTTTATGATTTAATCCTTGCTCCAGCTTCCATCTGTAACAGGTGCTGCGTATCTTACAGGGCCATTGAGAAACCTGGACAAGATCCTGTAGGCAGAGTCCTGTCTTATAGAACAGGCCGGTAGACAGAAGGTAGCTACTGACTGACCATCATAGATCTCTGACGCAGCGGAAGTGGGTCGTTAAGAGCTTGGCATCTCTGTTGCAATGAATAATTTGTATTTGCATTGCACCAGCTTTTTTACACATTTGTGGATGAAAAACAGTGTAGGGTTGACTATGACATGCAAGTTGTATGGGGTCACATGTGTGTTCTCCAAGATGAGGTGAGCTGAAAGAGTAGCACACAAGGCCAGCTGCAGTGGGAAGGGCTGAGCACAGATTTTGGTTCTATATTTTAGTTCTTTGTTGTTTCTCTTTCATTTTTAGTGAATACAGGGCTTAAGGTTTTCTCCTTAAGAAGAGCACTCCAGCCTTATATGTCCCTAAGTGGGGTGACTTCCCTTGTGTCCAGCTCCCAGCAACCCCAGGAGCTCCCAGCACTCACAAGCTAGAGTGTGCATCTCAATCATTTCATGTATTTGTAATATCACCTGCCGCAGCCATTGGCCCTCCAGAGCTCTGCCTTAGCCCCTGATGGACCAAGGATTGCTTCTATTAATAGACCAAGTGCAAGGTCACACAGGTTTGGAGTGGTCTGCCCTCAACTCCTTTTTCCTCCTGGAAGCCCCATGACCTTCAGTGTGTGACATTTTACAGAATGGGAGACTATGCAGGAAAGTACATTTTATCTGACTCTCAATTTCTTTCTTTCAAGTGCTGCAGAAGGCAGCAGAAGCTGCAGCAAAGACATGGAAAGGAAGTGAATATAACCATACGAGGAAGGATGTGGGCACACTCGACCCACGGCCAGGCTGCCAGGCCAGGCTGCCAAGCCAGGCCCTCACTCTGCAAAGCCAGCTCTGAGGCCCTGAGCACTCCAGGGTGGGCTTAGGATCCATTCCTTGCCAGGACAGCAGAAATAACAACCTTTCTTTGTTTTTCTGTCTTGAGCAAAGTCAGAAGCAGCAAGGATTTGCTAAATACATGCATTTCAGAATAAAATAATTCCTTTTGCTTTCTTTAAAATTTATTCATAAAAATATACTCTGATCCTCCTGATCCTCCTGGGTATCCCCAGGTTTAAGTACTCCCTACCTCCCTACAATTCCTGTGAGAATTTTTGTTCTTCTCTTTACTGAAGCCCTAATCACATTGTGCCCTTTATAATTACAAAGCAGTGTGTGTGTGTCTCTCTGTGTGTGCATGCGCACCACAATTCTAAACTATATAAGTTCCTTAAGGGCAAGGACTTTGTTAATTTCACCACCATGTTTCCATCAAATAGTAAGAGTATATACGAAATGCACCACTCTTCCAGAATTGTTGATTTTTATTTGGGTCCTTTTTGTAAGGAATGTCAGACAAAAACATACTGTGAATTCTAATGCGGTGGTTAGAATGCATGGTTTAGCATGAAAACTTCTCCTGTAGCATAGCTAATGGAAATTATTTGGGGAAAGTCAAGACTGGAAGGCAGGGGAAGAATACCTTATGTGAAATATTTTATTCATCTTTTAAAAAATTAATAAGCAAGCAGACAGGAATTATTTAATTTGGCTGCTCTGATGGTTCCTGCCTCTCTTCCCAAGGCTGCAGAGTTGAGCTGTTTTCCCAGGGGAACGCCAGTACTGAGGAAGCCTCAAGGTGAATCCTGCCTACAGAACTTGCTGGCAGATGGCAGGGCTCTGTGTTGACAGCCGGGGAACTGTGGGCCCAGAGGGAGGTAGGGGGCTTGGCTGCTGTGACCCAGGCACTCAGCTCTCAGGGCCCCCTTCTCTTGGTGAGTGTCCAACGTCCCCCATCACTCCCTAAAAGTTTGATCACGAATATGAGAAATTTTTAAGAATAAATTTAAGGTAGATTTCTACAGTGAAACTTAAAGTTAGTAGTGACACATGAAGAATCCTTTTTGGATAACGCAACACTCAGGGCTGAATTTGGGGCCCAGGGCAACTCTTCAGCTTTAGCTCGCTAAGGCTGCTATGACAAAGTACCTCCTAGAAATGTGTTGTCTCTCAGTGGTAGAGGCTGGAAGTCTTCCATCAGTAGCCTGCAGGGTCTATTTCTTCCCGGAGCCAGATGAGCCAGTCAGTCCCATTCCTTCCTGCAGCTTCTGGCGTTTGCAGGTGTATGGATCACTGCTGTTGCCTTCACATCGTGTCGTCCCCTGTGTGCACCGTCTGAGATTCCTCCTTTTAGAAAAGGACATCTGTACTGGTGGGTTATGGGCCTGCCGTAGTCCAGGATGACCTCATCCTAGCAAATCCCATCTGCAGTAAGTCTATCTCCAAATAAAGTCACAGTCTGAGGCACTGGAACTTAGGCATTCATATAAGAATTGGGGCTGGCGCGGGGAACTTTACATCCATCGCATTTTTTTTAAAGATTTATTTAATTTTATTGGAAAGGCAGATTTACAGAGAGGAGGAGAGACAGAGAGGAAGTTCTTCCATCTGATGGTTCACTCCCCAAGCAGCCTCAACGGCCGGAGCTGAGCCAATCCGAAGCCAGGAGCCAGGCGCTTCTTCCGGGTCTCCCACGTGGGTGCAGGCTCCCAAGGCTCCAGGCTGTCCTCAACTGCTTTCCCAGGCCACAAGCAGGAAGCGGGGTTGCTGGGATGAGAACCGGTGCCCATATGGGATCCTGGCACTTTAAAGGCAAGGACTTTAAACACTATGCTATCATGCCAGGCCCCATCCATCGCATTTTTATAGCAGGCAAAATGGAAATTACTTTTGTTCCCATTTTATTGATAAAGAAACTGAGTCTTAAGGAAATGAGGTAACTTATCTAAACTGAGTACAAATCTGTTGCCTGGCTCAGGAGTCCAGATGAGCCAAGTGGTGCCTCCTGCTGCAAGTGAGGGGAGCCGCTGACATGCACTAGGACCAGGAGGAACCAAATCAGCTTATCGGATTCCCTATTATTAAAGCTTCATTTGTTTCTGTGGCTGCATCTCATGAAGCCTTGACCTCCAGGGGAACTGCTTACTCAAGCTGTTTCTTTTAAGTCTGTTGTTTCTCTCTAGTGGGCCCATGCCTGGGCCTGGGGAGCTGGCTACAATGAGCCTGCTATTCAGGGCAGAAAGTAAAATGCTCTGTGCTTCCTTTTGCTCTCTGAGACATCATTCTTTGCTCTCTGTGACATCATTCTTTGCCTCCTCTTCCTTTTGTCCTGTCCATTGAGTCACCACAGTAGGGTGTGGGGAGTGTGTGAATTGCCAGTTGTGTAAGAGTACGGTCCACTGGTGCACACTGGGGCAAGCAACAGTTCACATCCCTCCCAGGAATGACTGACGCTGGTGTCACCCTGCAGGGTCTGGGCTTCCCCAGGCAGAGCAGAGGGACACCCCAAGAGTGAGTCCCCAACCCCTGAGAAAGCACTGTAGAAAGTAACTAGTGCAGATTTTAAGACAGATCCTAATTTCTTTTTAAAAGATTTATTTATCTGTCTGTTTGAAAGGCAGAGTCACAGAGAGAGAGGTCTTCCATCCACTGGTTCATTCTCCAGTTGGCCACAATAGCTACAACTGGACCAGTTCCAAGGCAGGAGACAGAATTTCTTTTGGGTCTTCCAGGTGGATGGAGGGACCCAAGCACTCGGTCCATTTTTGCTGCTGACCCGGAAATACTATCAGGGAGCTGTATATGAAGTGAAGCACCTGGGACTTGAAACAGCAGCCATATGGGATGCTGAAGCTGCAGGTGGCAAATTTACCTGCTACATCATGGTGTCAGCCCCAACAGATTCTAATCTCATCTCTGCTGCTTGTCAACAACATGATTTCAAGAAAGAAGCTTGAACTTTGTTGCTTCTTCCTCAGTGAGATGGAGATGAGAAGTTTCTTTACCTGATCAGGGTACTGAATGGATAAATAATCCAGTAATGGTGCTGAAAACAACACACCTGTTATCCAGTTCTTTCATTCAGTACACATAACACTTCTGTATTGGCTTACTTATTGTATTTTCCAGTGTCACTTGTTAATCTGTTAGTTTAAAACCAGTAGGCTACATATGAAAAATGTTAGTAGTGGTTGTGTCTGGATGAAGCAATTACAAGTGATTTTGTTGTCTTGTTTCTGCTTATTTGTGTTTTCTAAATTTTCTGTAATTAAACATGCTTACTGTTTTAATGAGAGAAAGCAAATTCCCACCGAGGATCTCTGGTGTGTGTGAGCTAGAAGATGGGGGATGGATTGCTGAGATTCCTTTCTAGGGGACACATGTTCAGGAAGGAGCTCTTGTGGAAGAAAAACCTCGATGCCCTATGTGACATAGCGTCCGCATGACAGATGTGTACTCAGGTCACAGTGTGTCCAGTGGAATGAAAAAGTAATTTCCTGTTTTCCTCTCTTTTCCCATAGCATTATTAGTATCATCATTATTCTGGCTGGAGCAATTGCACTCATCATTGGCTTTGGTATTTCAGGTATGTGATTTTTCACATTAAACGATCCATTCATCTCTCACCATTGAACCTGTTAAAAACTCAAGGTGGAATATTGGAAAGTGCACAGGACTTGATCCCAAAAACTTCAAAGTTGAGCACTGATTTCTTCTACTTAGTGTACTCCCTTTACCTTAGTCATTTAATTCCCTGGGCCTTAGTCCCTTTCTTTTATTTTATTGAAGATTTATTCGTTTTATTTGAAAGGTAGAGAGAGAGAGAGAAAGATAGAGATAGAGAGAGAGATAGAAAACATCTTCTATTTGCTGGGTCATTCCTCAAATAGCTGCAACAGCTGGGGGTGGGCCAGGCTGAAGGCAGGATTCTGGAATTCCATCCAGTCTCTCACATTGGTGCAAGGCCCCAAGTACTTGGGCCATCCTCCACTGCGTTGCCAGGCACATTAGCAGAAACCCACATTAGAAGTGGAGTGGCCAGGACTCAAACTAGCATCAGTTCTGGATGCCAGCACTGCCACACTGCTGGAGCAGATTTCCTCATTTCAAATGTTGATCAGTAGTCAACTAATCAATCAAGACTTAAAAGTGACATCTGAGCTGACAGGGAAAGTGCTGCCTCTGAGCCATTCTCTCCGTGGTTGACATGGGTGGATACTTTGCAGTAGAACTTCAACTGGCATGTTGAAGAATAGCTAAGTCTTTGCACGCAAGTGTTTTACGTAAAGAGCCCACTGTACCATGTAGGGAACAGCTGCCATCCTGGCATGGATGGTTAGTTTCTCAGTGTAGCTCACTGATGTCAGTAGCATTCCCCTTCCTCTTGTAGGCAGGCCATTTCTCTGAAGTGTCCCATCTATTATAGATGCCACCTTAGCAAAGATTTAGTCAGGCCAGCAGCTGTCTTCCCAGAGGCAGATTGTTTGCTCTATTTCCCATCAGTCACCTGAAACATTTATTTCAGTTAGTGACCAAAGTTGTCACTTCACAACTTTAGTTTTGATAGTCTTGGGTTTCTTTTTTTTGTCCCTCTCTCCCTAGCATGGATGTCCTATCATTAAATAGTGATCAAAAGGCCAAAACCAACAAAACTTGGTACATACGTGTTGGCCTAGAGAAAAGACACTGTGCACTCTTCTCTGCTTTCTTTATCATCATGTGTATATTTTGGTTTTTGTCCATTTTCCTCGTGAGTTCCAGTTATATCTTAGAGCTATTGTAAGTTTGGTTCCAGACCACAATAAAGTCCATCGTGCAATAAAATGAATCACTTGGATTTTTACTGTCCATTGCACATAAAAAATGGTGTGTTTGGGGCAGTGATATAGCTGGTGAATTTTCTACCTATTGCTCCAGCATCTTATATAGGCACCAGTTTATGTACTGGCTGCTCCACTTAAGATGTGACACCCTGCTAATAGCCTGGGGCAGCAGTGAAGGATGGCCCAAGGCCTTGGGCCCCTGCACCCATGGGAGAGACTGGGAAGAAGCTCCTGGCTCCCAGCTTCAGACTATCCAGCTTAAGCCATGGTAACCATCTGGGGAGTGAACCATGGATGGAAGCTGTCTCTATCAATGTATTTCTGGCTTTCAAGTAAAAATAAATAAATATTTTTTTACCTGTTGCATTTATATTATCCCATAATATATTAAATGTGCAATAACATCATGGCTGAAAAGCGTAATGTACATACCTTAAATTTGAAGTATTTTTATTTTTAAAGACTGCTAATTATCATCTGAGCCTTCAGCAGCCATAATCATTTAGCTGATGGTACTGCCTTGCTGTTGGTGACTTGACTGGGGGATGGTTACTGCAGGTTTTGATGACAATGACAGGTTCTTAAAAAAAATTATTTATTCATTTGAAAGTCAGAGTTACAGAAAGTGGGAGAGACAGATAAAGAGACAGTTTTCTATCAGCTGGTTCATTTTGCAAATGGTTGCAATGGCCAGGGCTATGCCAAGGCAAAGCCAGGAGTCAGGAACTCCAGGTCTCTCACATGCATGACATTTGCACAAGTACTTGGGCCATCCTCCACTGCCTTCTTAGCTGCACTAGCAGGGAACTGGCTGTGAAGCAGAAACAGCTTGGACCCAAACTGGTGCTCATGGGATGCAATCTCCACAGGTTGCAGCTTAACAACTATGCCACAATGCTGGTCCCATGTGGCAGTTTCTTAAAGTGAGACAAGAATGAAGTTTATTGTATCCACTGTCTCCTCCTTTTGTGAAAGATTGCTCTGTATTTGTGATGTCATTTGATAGTATTTGAATTGTAGTCAGTTCTCTCAAATTCTGGCAGTGCCTTATTAACTGAATTTGTATAATATTCCAAGTCCTATGTTGTCACTTCACCCTAACTAGCATCAGGTTCCTACTCAATAAATCATTCTCTGTTCATTTGCTAGAAATAAACCCTCATCTGTGGAAAGGAGGGTTGGGGAGGGGTGGGGAGAATCCCAGTACCTATAAAACTGTGTCACACAATACAATGTAATTAATAAAAAAAAAAAGAGATAAAAAGGAGTAAAAAATAAAAAATAAAAAAATAAACCCTCATCTGATAAAATGTTATTGTGAGATTTAGTAGTGATTGTAGTAATTCAGTCACATTTACAGGTGCCACTCTTTTAATTTTAGTTCTGTTGCAAATACAAGTGCAATCTATTTTAACATCACCTACAATTAAAAATAAATTTTAAAAGAAAACCATAAGACAATGATGAAAAAATTTAAACATCAGGCAAATAAACAGAAAGATATCCTATGGTGATGGAATATAAGAATTAATATTGAAAAAAAATACAAGTTCAATCACTTCATGCACTGAATCCTTGAGCCCATCAAAGTCATCTGTGAAGTCTGGGATTAACTGCTTCCAATTGCCTGTTAACAGTTGTATTCTGACCCTTTCAAGATCCACCAGAGGAATAACTGTCTAGGGCAAGTCTGACCTTAGAAATGGGCTTCTTAAATAATATGACTTAAAAGTTGTCATTCTTGATCCATGGGCTACAACACAATGGAAGCTGTGTTAGCAGGCATGAACACATTAACCTCATTGTACATCATGAGAGCTCCTAAGTGACCTGTGCGTTGTGAATGAGCAGTGACATTTGGAATGGAATCTTTGCTGTCTTGAGAGTCAGGGCTCATCAATGGGCTTAAGGTATTCAGTGAACCATGCTGTCAACAGGCGTGCTGTCATCCAGCTTTTGCCATCCCATTTAGAAAGCATGGGCCAAGTAGGGCCCGAGGGTTTTAGGAAAGGTAAGTGCCCACTGGTATCCATTAGCTCCTGACAGAAGGGTCGGCCACTGAAGCTTTGAAGCCAGGTAATGATTTCATCCCTCTTGCTATGGACATTTTCCTTGGCATCAGCTTCTTCCAACTACATGGGAAATTTGCTTATCTGTCCCACAGAGCTGCAACTGGGAATAAATGAAACATGTGTAAAGCAAAATAAATCCAGGTATAACTGTATCTGTTCTCTTCTTGATTTGTGGAAAGTATTATTCTGGCTTTAACTTGGTTGTATGTATTAGCAAATCTAAATTTTTCATGCTTTTTTTTTAACTATCCTGATTTACTTCAGTAAACATAAGTGCTTAATTAAAAAATTATTTATTTTTATTGGCAAAGCAGATTTATAGAGAAGGAGAGACAGAAAAAAATCATCTATCCACTGGTCCACTCCCCAAATGGCTTCATGGCCACAGCTAAGCCAATTTGAAACCAGGAGCCCGGAGCCTTTTTCAGGTCTCCTATGTCTTTGGCTCACCTTCCACTGGTTTCCCAGGCCATAAGCAGGGATCAGAAGTGAAGCAGCCAGACACAAACCAGTGCCTATATGGAATGCCAGTCCAGAATAGTGGAGGATTAGCCAATTGAGCTATTCTGACTTTTATCTTCACTGATGTCCCCTCTTTCTGCTTTATTCAATTGTGTGTGTGTGTGTGTGTGTGTGTGTTTTAAACTCTTTCTCTGATATCTTAAATAAGTATTTCATACAGGAGTATATGCAAACCTCCAGGAAGGGGCTGACAATAGATGCTGTCATTTGGCCTTCCAAAGTGACTTCCCATACATGCTTCATTGGAAGGGAATGAGGAGCTCCATACTCCATGTCCTCCCCAGTATTGGAGGTTGTAAAATTTGGTGGTCTGAATTTCTGTTTCCTGGTGCCTGAGGAGACTGATGTACTTACTTATTTGAAAGGCAGAGTTACAAAGATGAGAGAAAGAGGAAGAAGAGAGACTGAGAGAGATGCTGCAGCTCCTAGTACAATGGTTGTGACAGCCGGGCCTGGGCCAAGCTGGAAGCAGGAGCCTAAAACCCTGTCTGGGTCTCCTACATGCGAGTTAGATTTGAACCGGTACTCATAAGGGATGCTGGCTTCACAGGTGGCAGTTTAACTCACTAAGCCACAAAATCTGCCCCAGTTGAATACATTACCTAGAAAAGAAAATTGATGTTGAGTGACAAAGCCAGTACGAAAGAGCATATTCTGTATGAGACCATGTGTGTAAAGTTTAAAAACAGGCAAACGGGGGAAAGGTGCTTGACTTAATGGTTAAAACACTACTTGAGATGCCCACATCCCATATTGGAATACCTGGATTTAAGTGCCAGTTCCACTCCCAACCCCAGCTTCCTGTTGTGTGCATCGGGAATGGAGAAGATGATGGGCCAAGTACTTGAGTCCCTGTCACCGGCTAGGTGTTGGCATTTGGGGACTGAACCAGCAGATGAAAAGTGTGTGTGTGTGTGTGTGTGTGTGTGTGTGTGTGTGTGTGTATTACCCCTGGGGAAGGGGGAGGGGTAGCAATGAGGAAGGGGCATGAGGGAACTCCAGGAGAATGCTGCTGTTGTACTTCTCTCTGTAGGTGGTGCTTTTGTGGGCTGAAGTTCTGTTAACTCTTTGCATAGCACAGTTAGGATGAGTGGATTTTCATGGATGTGTGTTGTACTTCAGTATAGGCATATATAAACACACATTCATAAACATTTGTGTGTGTAAAA